CCCCCATTAAGTACAGTTTTCCACTTTTTGACAATATCTTTGGCGAGTTTTGCAACGTCCGCGTTATGATGCGAACGTTGTTTGCCAATGAAAACTCCAATACCTGTATTCTATTACCCAATCAATTTGAAGAATGTGATGAATCAGGAATTTGTTTTAACAACTATTTTTTGAAAATAAACCCTCTCCCCTTACGACAATTGCTTACTTTCAACAACTCTTTTGTTGCAACTACTTCATCATTGAAACGTCTCATTATATCAAGGATTATCTGTTATAATAAGATATTTATTAAAAGATCGACACAGTCTGTTGTTTAGTTTAGTTTATTAACGTTCTCTTACAAGAATTTTATCTTCTTCGATCGCCTTGGTTAGCGATCTCTTTAATCGCATTACTTCTTCGGTATTCATTAGGCTTTCATATAACTTTAGGAAAGAAATAATTCTTGAAAGGAATAGCTCAGATCAAAAGAAAAGGAAAGTGGTAGACTTTACAGTGATCAATTGAAAAAATTTATATCCCATCGTATCACACGATCAACTTTTTTGGAAGGACCGAAATGTCAATATTGGGAAGTACGTTGTTACACATCATATTTTATTTATTGTAAAGAACGTGTTCTATGTGGCTTAGGCTGGGACTTCAAAAAAAATTAGATTTTTTTTTTTGTCAAAAAATGCCCAAGAAAAATAAACACAAAAAAAGAATACAACAAGAAGATTTTAAAGTAAGTCTTTTGGTGATATAATTAATAAGGTGAATGATCCTGATTCATTTTACAATTGCTTTTTTTTTAATTTGGGAAGAAACCAAAATTGAAAGTTGGAAAAAAGAAACCACAAGCTAGCAATTTTACGGATACTTCGTTTAAATCTCGGGGTATAACGACAAATTTTTTTAATTACATCAATATATATTTTTTTTATCACTTGATTTGTCTAAATTTCTTTGAAAACGATAATATAAATAAATAGCAATATCTTTGCCAATTCAAAGCATAACTGAAGATAAATCGAATGAAATAACAAATTCGCGAAATTTAACTCTAAATGAAATTTTAACACAGTTAAAGCATTATAACCCTGGAATGCGAAAAGGTTGTTTTTCTATCTTAAATTCTATTATATGAAGCACACTCTATATTAAAATTAATTTGTCTTTACTTAAAAATAAAAGATGCTATCCTAGGTTTAAAAGATTATTTTAATGTAAATCCACATATTTTGTCACAATCTTTATCTTCGGTTGTGAATTCTCTTTTGCGATTATTAGTTGATGATGTAAGATGATGGTTATTATTATTATTATTTTCGCGTTTGACTGCGCCATAAAATCTTAATCATACGAAAATTCTGTTCCAGGATAAGTTTGTAAGGACGACCTTGTTGTCATTTTTTACAGAAATTTTAATTTCTATTGATAAGGTGAGAATTCTCTTGTATATTCGGTTAATGTTTACCTGTTATCATCAGTCTATGTTTATGTTCTTGAGCATTTCTTTAGTCGGAACTCAGACCTTTCCTTCCTCTCCTAATTATATATACTTGCTCGGCAATGACACATATTTATGAAGATATACGTGTCGATGCAATCAAATTTATGGAACTTTGGCTTAATATCGCGCCCGATATCATTGTAGATGGATTCTGGCAACGGGTAAATCGCTATAAATCTGAATTTATAAAATATAATTATGAATATATTTAATAATAGTGGCTTCGATTTATAAGGTGTTGCCTAATTATATTGGACTTTTGACGACTGATTCGAATTTGTCAACCATTACTAATTCAGGTGATTAGACTTAAAGGCACAATTTATATTTTAATTAATTTTAAGATATCAAATTCTTTATCCTATTATTTATTATATTAGTATCTCGAATAGTTACCCCTTCAGCTAATTCGCGAAATCAATTTTTGTCACATGAAGTCTGTAAATAATTTCAATATATTATCATCATCATTATTTTCGTGTCATTTTTTTTAACCTTCAATAATTTATTATATTAGATAAAAATTGAAATTTTATCGAGTTTTCATAAACTTTTGAAGTATGGATTGAATGATGATAATAGTGACTCAATGTAATAAACTTTATTCTCTTCATCTTTTACTTTCGAAATAATGAATTCGAACTAATCGTATCAAAATAAAATTTTTGCATGTGAAATCTTGAACTTTATAGCAATTGCTTTCAATCTGTTAGACAAGGAATTTCAATTGATTGGGGACAGGTGCATGGCAAGGTTAGTTCAATTAAAAAAGGATTGTGAATGATATGACGAAATGTATTAAATAATCTGTTGATTATAAAGGTCGAATTGATACCTCCACATCCGCTGAGATCATCTCTTCTACCATATTTGTCCAATTCTAGGCCAAAATATTCTGCGCAGTTAAATCTGTTTAACAATTCATCATCTTTAACAACTACAAAAAATCAAAATGAATGGGCTAGCATTAGTAATAATAATACATTATCACAAAATGAAATGACCGAAAATAATTACGATTCTTCAACTATTCAAGGTCGTATGTCCTGCGCAAAGGTTTGTTTTTTTAATGTTTTTTTCCTCCTTTTTTTTTAATAAAAAATAAAAAAGATTTCTAAAGAGAAAATTTATTTCACATTCAAAATATCTTTTCTATGATCTAGGATCTATTGAACATCATAAATCCAATTCTCCTTGCAACTTGGTTGGACACTGCACCATCAGTTTTTGGTACAGCTTCAGCTTTGAATCAAAATTTATCATCATTGGAAATAATTTACCTTGTCTTAAAGATAATGGTAATACTCTGGAGAGCTACGATAAATTACACGTTGACTTATCAGGTTTGTAGTCTTTTACAATAACTTTCTTAATTTTTGTCATTAATATTTCTTTGGTCCTATTTCGAAAGGAATTTACGGATAAACAATGGATCGAGTCGCATTTAAGACAATTAATTAAACACTATGTGATTTACTTTCCCTTCGGTTTCGAATCTATCAGTACGCGGGATGCAAAGGTTTTTGAAATCTTGAATACTTATTCTTATATTTTAGTTGATATTAAAAAAAATATAAATATTGTTTTTAAATGTTAATTTTAGTCTGAAGTGATTCTTCAAGAAATGAATTTAATGTTTTGTGAATTAACATCACTCTTTTTGATGACAACGAAAATGACCGCGTTGGAAAAGGAAGGTTTAAATAATAATAAGAGATTATCTCAAAAGAAAAGGAAAAGAATTGTTGACATGGATTCCTCAGAATCTCGGCCGTTTTGGATAGAACAAGTTGTAGAATATATTATACTCTTTTTAAGTTCCGAGGTAACAAATGAGGGTTTAATATTCATTCTTTATGATCGTTTGTTGTTAACGCGTCTTTTTTTCTAGCCAACTTCGAAAGCTGAACATTTGACGGCTTTGTTGCCAACGATACGGAATTTGCTCAATTATTTAGAAAAAGAGGAACGAGAATCTATTTTCAGGGTAACCTATCAATAATGAGGAATTTCTGATAATACTCATTAATCATCAAAATTTCTTTTACATTATAGGCAATTTTAGATTATTACAAAAGGTGTCGAGCTCAATCATCTTCGAAAAGAGTCATCATAGAATATATTTCGAAATTTTTATTGGTATTCTTTTTTTATAAATAATGATAAATATACCTTTTACGTTAATTTAAAGATTGATTCCTATTTTTAGGTACGAGAAATTTCGCATTCACAAGTACCTTTTCATATACATCATGACGCGCCGCTTGCAAAAGAAATGCAAACTTGGGTATTGAGTTTACCTAAATTATTATGGGAATTAAAAACTAGTAATATTGAAACTAGTCGGGTAGTAAAAATTTTCCTGTAATTAATGGTAAGATCATTTATTTACTCCGTTATTGACCGGTGCTATTCTTTATTATTTTCATAATCTAGGAAATCCTCTACGTTTTATGTGATTTCGCCAAAAGAAGCGGTAAAGGAATATTTAACGATGAGGTACTTTTTCCCAGTGCACTTTAATTGTTGCTAGAGGAAACAGATTTTTTTTTTTGATCGTGGTCTGGTCACATGAAACTCGCGAGAAACTGATCATCGCTCACAAATTATATCATATGTATAGATAATGATCCAACTTCAAACGGTTCTTATCCCTTTCCTTTATGTAGACTTGCCTAATAAAGGTATTTATGGAACTAAATGTTAAAATTCAATGTATATGATTTTGGCATTGAAACCTATATATATATATTTTTTTATCTTAGGACCTCTTCTCGGACCTTTTATTTCTTTACCGCAAAATCTTCAACGGAAAACCATTGAATTCATTTTTCTTTGTCCAAAAATTATTGATAAAATGAAACATGCTTTGGAAAATGTCCTAAATAGAGAAGCGGCCAAATCCGTGAGAAGTTACGCTCATTCCTTGTTAAATGAGAAATTTTTAATAATTTAATTCGTCAAATTATAATAATTAAGTTAAAAAAAAAAAATTTTTTTTTTTTCGTTTAAAAAATTTCAATAAATATGTATTAAAACGATTCACTTAACACAATTATCACGGGTTTGAAACGAAAAAGAATAAAAAAATTATTATTATACAAGTTTCCTATCCTGCTTTTAAAATTTTTTTTTAAAAAGTTCAACTAGGAGCTTTTGCAAATATTATACATCAAACTTAATAAGCTCTGTGTGAACTTTCCTAATGCATGCAATCATAGAAATCAATTGCTCGATGCCTATCTGATATTGAATTACATTAGGAAAACAAGAGTAGAAAAGGGAAATTAAAAAAAAATAAAATGGTTTGAAATGCTTTTTTAAAGTCCAAACAAATTAATTATTCTACATATATCCTGTTTACTAACTTTAGTAGCAAACAAATAAAATATCTGCAAACCACACACCTTTCCATAACTAACTAATACACAATCAATATTATAATGAACTAGATAAATTAAACTACCGTTACATTATAACATTGGTGCCTTCCTTAAAACAATTAACCACTTGCCGAAACTTTCTCGTTCTTTTCCTTTGTCTCGGTTCTATTAATGTGATCCTCTTCTTTTGATGTTGAAGCGACTGAAGCATTATTTGTTGAAAAAGGTTTTGTATTCGCTACCGGTTTAGCTTTCTCAATAATAACGTTACATAATGTTCTCGCTTTAGTATTTACCCATTGCACTACAATGGGTGTGAATTTCTGAATGTTTATGATACACCATTGGATCACCAAAGGACCATGTTGTTTCAAGGATTCAGGTGCATAACTATGATATAATGGAACTAAAAAAGAATATTCAAAAGGGTTAATTTAAAAACAATTGCTTTTTTCTTTTTTTTTTTGATCAAAGCGATAGATAAGGTATCTCTCTCCCTGTTTACCTGCATCTTTGCTGGTTTGTATCACCTTTTTAGAAAACTTGCGACAAATGAAAAACCAGAAGGGCACACTTACCGAACCTATAAAACATGATTAAAGTTATATTAATTTGGGAGATAGAAGCAAAAAAAAAAATACGCGTTTTAAACTCAACCTGATGGTGCAAACGGCAAAGAGAAAATCCAAGATATTGGACTAAACCAATCCTGTGGAAGGTAAAAAACCGGTGATGATCGATACCATAGTACCATAAAAAATTGCATACCATTGGAAAACACCCATAGAAATGTAGTAAATTTGATTTCAAAGGATGTTTTTAAATAACCTAATGATGTTGCTGATAAATTTTTTTTTTGAGCATAAACATTATATAAAAATTATATTTAATTGTTATTAAGATTGTTACGCGCAAAGATGAATCAATCAGTGAAATTTTATTTACTAATTTTATCTAATTCGCTCATTTTACTATCCAATTTTCGTCTCAGCTTTGCCCATTTGGCGAATTGATCCTAATGAAAAGAATAATGAGAATCATAAACAATTAAGAACGACATGGACCGCGTATTATATATCATAATAAAACTCGAAAAAAAACAAAACCTGAGAACTTGTTCTTGCCAAGTCATGTTTAACATTCAATATGTCTCTCTTGATTTTTCTCTGTTTTTGTATCCTCTCCTTTTCAAAAGCATTTAAATAAATGCCATATGCCTAAGTTTTCATCAAATCGTATAAATAACAAAATAAAATTCGAACTTGTTTAACAAATCTGAGATCAAAACGTACCAAACTCGCGATCTGTGAATATCCAAACCAAAGAATAAATTCCGTTATAAGAACAATTAATGCGATAGCAAAGGCTAAGGACATTTTACTATTAATAACATGGAATTTTGGGTTTTTATTTAAAAAAAAAAAATTTTTTTTTTTGATAAAGAAAGAACGCGCTAGAATATAAAAAAAAGCCCTATTTTATGTCTGTTTCTCAAAAAAAAAAAAAAAAAAAAAAATTCACGTTTGTTCATTTTAATATTGTGACAATAACCAGTTCCATCCTAGTCATTCGGATAATTTTGTCTCGATTTGGTTAAATCGATGAAGGGAACTAGGTATCGGAGCCAATAAGTTAACGTCTCAATAACTACATAACTACGTAGTACTCACACATGTTTATCAAACTTAAAATCCGGATATGAAAATACATCCCTATTATCTGTACGAATTAACATTTATTGAATGATCAAAGTATTATTATCGTTATATATTGAAAAAAAAAAATTGTCCATATACAAAAATGTTATTTAATATCAAGCACCAACTAAATCAATATATATTATTTAGACATCATCGCGTTATTTTTTTGAATGGAGATAAATTATCACGCAATTCGTTTAGTCGAAAATCGACCTTTTTTTAAAAGAGATTAATTATTAGCGATGAAAAGACCAAATTCATAACGAATGACATTTCATTCGTACCAGTTCAACGGATGCATCCTTTGGGCTAAAAAGAAAGCTACAATTAGCGATTCCGTTTAATGTAATTTGCCATCCAGCTTTTTGTTTCATCTGTTCATCGGAAGTTTCATATTCTATTGGTGTTCCATTCCCAGCGATCCAAGCACAATACCATCGATGTTCGTTTGCAATATCAAATGTAAGATCAGTTTCAATATCCTGTGTATTCTGTTCGTTTTTATCACTCTCGTCATCTTGCAGATTTTCTTTATCTTGTTTTTGTTGAATTTCCCTATGCTTCGCTATATTCAGATAATTTGATAATGAACACTGACGAAAACAATACGGACACTTCAGCATTTCTAATCCCTCAATTAATTCGTATTCCCATCCAAACAAAGACAAGCAACTAGCAGACGTCAAAATATCTTGACCAATGTTCTTTACTTCATTTGACATCACGGAAATTATAAGTTTTACATACTCCTCAGTCTTAATCGATAAAGATCGGGTTATGTTAATTAGCTTCAAAAGACGACAATTATATCATAAAAAGTTAACTTACTACTTCAACCTTTATAACCGGTAATTTATCCCCTAGTTGTATTAAAGGCAATGCACGTGTCTGAAATTCCTTCAAAAGGGATCGATCCAGTGAAAGTGAAATCTTGTATATAAAATCTTATTTTCAAAAGAAGAAAATCATTAAATATGGTGGTCTACATTGAAAAGAGTGTTTAATTTAAATATCCTTCACACCATCACAATGACGTTCACGCCATGGGCACGTAGATGCATGTGCGCTGGATAATCCTTCGTGATATTGGACTGTCATTTTCTCCTCTATTTAAAAAACAAATTTCATCGTTATCAATCAAGAAATAGGCCAAATTAATCAATGAATAAATTAGATAGGAATTGCAAATGCCTATTTCATTATTAGGAATTATCTTCACTAGCATTTGTTCCCCACAATATTCACACTTGAGAAAATCTTCACTAATATTAATCCAGCCATATCGTGCACATTCTACTGGACTTAAAAGATCGGGTTTAGCAAACCAAGTTGATTCGTACAAGTATGTTAAGGTAATATAAATAATTATTGTTTTATTTACATTACAAAAACGAAAGCAAAAAGGATATCATAAAAGTTGCTAGTCGACGCATAAAATCATTTTTATCTATTGGATTATAGAAAACCTTTGGTTTATTTGGAGAAGTAGAATCGTCCTCATTTTGAAAAAGTTTAACTTGTTTTGCTCTAAAAAAAAATAATAATAATAAACAATAAAGTAAGTTATCACAAATAAATCAACGATCTAGTAGATTCGGTATAAACCTTGGTTCGGATATTTCTTCAGATATATTTTTGCTTTCCGTTTCCCCACGAGCACTTTCAAGCAACGCGGATAAAGCTCTTTTAGCGGACCTTATAAAATCATTATCCATAATGGTTCTGTGTGGCAAACATATAATCGTAAGGTTGTTTATAACTAGGGACTGTTAAGGAGACGATCATATGACGGATCTCAGATTGGTCCGTCAAATAAATAACAAAAGCAGGGGACGGTTAAAGCCTGGTGCGTCTAATAATTAGGGACAATCTGCGATTTTCAATTTAAGTATAGACTGAAGTTTTAAATCATTCGATCTTAAATATTCAAGCAAAAAATTACACTACCAAATATCGAAATTTTTTATTTTAACCAAAAAAAAAAATCTATAAAATCTATAACATAAAAAAAATTATTTCGTTGCTACAAATTTTTTAATTCCAACTTTTCTTTTTCAGGATCAGCATTACTATCTACCGGGGAATTTAAAAAATTCATCACATGATATTTCTTGATGATTACTTTAAGTAAATTAAGAAAATAATCCTTGATTTTCTAAGGGGTAAATAATTCTTGTAAATTATTGATAATTTCAGTTAAATTATCATTGAATAATGTGATTTTGTAATGTGGATCTAAAACTGAGAAAACTATATACCTTAATACAATTCTATTCTTTAAGATTTGTTATTATAAGCATATTTAAAACATTTTGCATTAAAATTTGTCTAGCAATCATCAAATATATGGAATTCCAATAAGTATATTTAAAATTGGTTTTAAAAATTAACCTTCTAATAGTACAAATTTCTAATAATTTATCCAATAATATTGGTAAATTTTTAATTAGATAACAAATTGATAAAGCTTTTTAATTTCATTTTTTATATATTTTATTTTAATTTTAATTACCAAATTGATAATATGAATAGCATATTAAAAATGAGTAAAAGACATATTGAAGCTTTGCTAAAAAAAATTTTTTTTTGAGTTAACATTAAATCTGAACTTATTTTACTAAAAAAATCATAATTAACTTATAAAATAAAATTTTTATTTTTTAGAGTTTTCTTCCTTTCTATTGTAAAGCTCCAATATTATTAAATTCTTAATATAATTTTATTACTAATTGATTACCATATGCTAAATATGCTAATGATACTATTTGAAACCTATTTTAACATGTAACTTAAAAATTTAAAAACTTTTTCAAAACCTTTAAAATGATTTTTTTTAAATTTAAAATTTGATTAAACTTAATTAAGTTTAAAAAAACATATATAAACTTTAAATATAAATATTTATTATAAACAAATAGTTTAATCTCAAATATTTCGAAACTTAAAATTTTTAAAATAGTTTAAGGAGGTATCTTTACTACTTATTATCATATTGCTTCTATTATCTATTATTAATATGATTAATATTAAATTTTAAGAAAGTTTGTTTGTAATTAATTTCATAGTATGAAATCCATTTATAGAAATTAAATCAAGTAAAATTTCCAATTATTATTTATATAATAATTGTTATTCTAAGATAGCAATTCTTTAGATCTGATATCTCATGGAGGGACTTTCACGTGATTGGCCGATCCCAATCAATTGATCGGTACATTATTTATACAGTTTAGAGTACCTT